GGACGCCTTCAACGCGTGAGGAATCCGTATTTCCATGACGAGCAAAAACAGCTGAACGAAGGATTAGATCGAAGCACTCCGCGTGGGAAGGCGGTGGGTAATAAGGTGTTTCTCTTCAAAGATCAAAGCAGCAACGACGCAGCATAATAAACAATTTCACTTCAATACATATCAATTTGTGACCTTTCATTTAATCTATAATTCTTATCCTAGTTCACGGTCAATTAAATCATCTATCTTCATTTCATACTGATAATAAGCTTTAAAATCCCATAATTAGTTAGGGTGCTTTGTACTTGTCCACATATTTTAGATAGACCCTTATCTTCAAGGCATACGTATCCGAGAAGAAGATAAATCATTGTCTACGTGGTACATAGCAAGTACACAATGAAATAATCGATTCGAATCACACTCTGATTATGGAGTGCTTTCCGTGTTCTGTTGTCCTCTATAGGTAAAGACGTAAGTTTATTCAACATGCAGGGAGTCCTACCAGTCCGAGAACAAATTCTGAACTGAACGATCAACTTGTGGTATTAAAAGAGGGCGTATACCAACAGGGCTTTTATATATAACATATTAACACTAATTAAACGTGTATAATACGTCATAAACATCTGCTTTACTTGTCCATAATTCTGAGATCCGAATGTCGCGGTTGGGTGCATAACATTCCAACACAGTATTCAGAAAGTCTGAAGTTCGTACAGTATGTACTCTCAGTCCATCTTGTTGGAACCAAACAGTGGCAAAGTCAATGTCACAGTGGTGTAACTCTGAAAGAAGAACGCATTCACCACATGTGACCAATAGCAGCTTGTACCCTTTCAGTGTTTTCCAGGGTCTGCACAGGTCTGACACTGCCTCCACGTCTTTTGCTTGTTGTAGAAGCCGTGGTTTGAAACTTCTCTACCCAGTTCTTGATGGTGTTCCCATTCTTCCCATATTAAAATACTTTCTGAATATTTGTCACAGTTATTTTTAAAAAATGTCTCTGTGGTGAAAGCATGGTGCACAGCTGACCACTGTTCCATGTTACTAAAACGATGTCCCTAGCTGAATAGTACAGCACATTTAATTTAATTCCCTCCCCAGGGATACCAGAGTATTTCTTCTTTTTCTGGTGCTTTGACTTTTATCAATCACTGGCGATCATGTCGACTATTTTCATCAGCCATTATCCACGATTATCCTGTAGAAATAAATAATGGGTTGGTTTCTCATTGCCTTCCCCATCGCAGTATCACAGCCGTAGAAACCATCTACGGTTGCCACCTATGATATTCTGGAATTAGACCATTCTCAAGGTTTCCTTCTCCGCCCTAAACCAGTACCGGTGGTTACTGCTGCCCTCCACCAGGATTGATCTTAGCTTCGCTCCTCACCATAGACCTTACCAGCAAGGGTGACCCTACCAGGAGCAGTTGCTCCCGCTGGCATCGCTCTCTGAATCCTTGGAACTCCATCAAAATAATGAATGAATGCTGTCCCGCCCCATATAAACAGTCTCACACATCCTATGTCATTGTGAGGCCTAAGCTGAATTAAGGTTTTGTGACTTCAGTCAGTATTTCATGAAACTAGACAAGTATCACAAGATCTTCCTGTGGAAGAAAACTCTATTTCATTGGAGGTATGGGGCTACTAGTGGACAGATCAGGAAATGGTTGTGGTGCAAGAACTGGTTTGGTAACCACCTCATTCACATTCATTCGTATAATAGATTACAATATCGCCTGTGTTCAACATTTTACTGTATCATCCACCGCTGCTGTCTTACCCAGGCAGTGACATTTTAACATAAAATCTAACACCCGTGGTTAATTTTCAACTGTCATGAACCATGACCCTTAGGGCGGTATCGCACTAGGATGCCAACGGGAGGCCATGGCGCAGCTGCCAGCATCTCGGCCAAACTCAATGCATTAATTTCGTAGTCATATATCGCACCTAGCATCCGTCTGGCAGCGCTTCCAACTTGGCATCGCTGCCAACCAAGATGCCAAGTTCAAATGCTACTGGCATCGCTGCCACGGCCAAGGCCAAATCAACATCACATGACAGTCTGGCCAGTCCATTGACGTCCGTGCGTGAATGTGCTAGTGTGTATTTCTGTTTCTTCCAAACGTGGATAATTTCGACACCTTAAGATTGATAATTGAAATTCTGTCCCGGCCATCACTATGGGATCCATCTGCTATTGAATACGCAAACCGGGACTTTTTGTTTAGCAATCTATATATCACAAATAATGTGAATTAAGAAGAAACCTGCTTTTATAATGTTTTATTAAATAAAGTTTGTTCATGTAATATTACATGTGATTTGCAAGAACTGAAATATTTCAAATTCAATAATGGAATGGACGTGCAAAATGTGTGAATGGAGAATTTTTTTTACTTATTTCTTTGTTACAGAATTGAAATTCACTACAGGTATGTAGTTTTGATAAAGGTAAATCTCATTTCCTCAAAAGTGATAAAAGTGGACATTTCTCCTTGCTAATAGCCCTTCATTTCGTGATCTCATAATGTTGATCCATCTGTTCGCTCGACTGGCGTCGAAAGCTGGCAGCTTGTCTGGCGTCTTTTTCTGGCAGCTGGACGCCATGGCATCGCTGTTGGTGTCGCTGCCATGGCATCCTAGTGCGATACCGCCCTTAACCTTTCTCTCCTTCTCACACCAATTACTACAGCTGCCATACACAAAGGCAACTGTGATGTTGACAGACTTTCCCCGCTTCAATAGCTTTGAAGGCTATCAATTGACATACAATAGTTGCAACAAGCACTTGATGAAAAACAATTCTCCACACACCACTCAAACTGTGCTAGCAAATCATCACATTATGTTTCTGACCAGTTACTTCTTCTTCTTCTATGGCTCTCCGGTCCGTATTCGGCCCATGGCCTCCTCAATCCTCCTCTTCCATTCGGTCCTATTGTTAGGTCCGTCTGTCCGAGGCTTTGACCGACGTTTCGAAACATCTTCCTTTTTGCGGTGCAAGGTTGCTAGCCTTGCGACCAACCCTCAACCTGGATGACCAGGGTACCTGTCTTAGTCTGACCTCTCCCCCTAGGGAGGCCCCACCAGTAGCTATGCTACCGCCAGCATAGCTCTTGGGGTCACTGAGGTACTCATGCCCCACCACCACGACAAGGTGCAGGTACCATTAAGTGGGGCATAGTTACTTAGTCATTCAAAAAATGTAAACGTAAGATATTTGGTATATTAAACACAAATTCTGACACCTCACAGACCATACATGTCCTAGATGTTGCACCACACTGTCTTAGACTGCGTATATTACAAGCCTGAGCATGCAATAGGTCCTGTCTTTTACAATAGTCATACTAACAAAATGATTAAGACCCAAACATAAATTTGTATAACACTAGAAGGAATGCACTTATGATCAACAAAAAAGACAGGAACCTGTCAGCCAAAGTCAACTGAAAATCTTTACACATTATCACTCAAAAAGAAAACCAGTATCCTTCTTGATTCATTATTCACTATTCACTAGCATAGCAATGAAAAAAACTGTGTACATTTCATTGTCTATAACCTATGTCAACGTATTCTTTAGTTCAAGATGTTCAACATTTCTTTAGCATCCTAGGTCAGAGTTCTGTTATGTGAAAATAAACAATTTTGCTTTTCTTGAAGTTTCCTTCTGTATAAACATTATACACCAAATAAATATGAAACCTGAATCAAACCAATTTCTTTAATAACTCAAGTCCATAAACGGTTTCTCTCAAAACATATTAATTAATTTTCATATTTTTTTCTTGCTTTTGCACAGTTTTTCTAAATTTTCTGAAACGTACATACATATTGTGACAAGCAGTGCCATGATGTTGCGTCCCGTCCACCCCTCTCCCTGCATCCCCACGTAGCAATTATTATCAAGCCAGAACACCAATGAACAAGCATAAATATAAATTCTCCTTCCACAGCCTATGCCTTTGAAGAATCTAGTACAGA